CGAAACATATTTTCGTGAATAGTCACCTGCAACATAACCTTCAAAAGTTGATGCAGAGCTTAGACATACAGCCTTGACATGCTACCATCAACAACCCACATTCACCTAAATTAATGTGGAGCAGAACAACCCTACTGTGACATTTCCATGATAAGTAGGAAAAAACCCAATTCATGTCGTTACTGAAAACGTAACTCTCAGTCGGGTTTGCCTGTATTGTAAAGTAACAGCTGTTATTTGACTTCGGTTGGATCGTCTGTTGTGGGTTGTGTATTTGTGGTCGATCATGTATGTTCTTAGTGGTCATTCCTTTGGCCGTAGTGGCACTTTATCTCTCTTTATGTCTGTATTTAGAGAGCCTGTGTTTGGAGGTTTTCCTCCTTGTAACCTCGTTTTGTGCCTTTTATGGAATGTCTTTTATCAAAAAAAACGAAAAAGAAAACGTAACTCTCAGATTGGGAGTGAAACCACTATAAACCTATGTATTTGTTCGATATTATTCTCTATCTTCTACAAATAAGGGAGGAATAGATAACCTGGAAGCTACCATCACCGATGCAGGCAATGACTCGCTTCTCTGGTATATTTTTAAAATAAGAAAAAAATGGATTCACACTCATTTGTTGATGACTTGTTCAATATCGGAGGCGAATCACATGTGACGCTACAAAGTCAAAGAAGATATTTTGGAAGTATTAATGTGCGTGAAGGATTGGGAAGATGATCATTTCCGACTGCAAGATAAATATGCTAAAATTGCATGTCATCAGGTAAGTTATATTTAATTTAATCATATTAATAAAAGTTTGTTATTTTATAATACTGTTTGTAACACGAAACAAGTTGTTCACGTACAATTTTTAACTCCGTCTCTCAAAATTTAAGTAGCTGATCCCAAGCTGGAATAAAGGATGATGGTTTAATTTAAAAAATTAAAAAAAAAAAAGAAAAAGAAAAAAAAGAGCTCACGAGCTGAAGCTCGACTCGGCCCACGAGCTCGCCAGTTTGTAACGAGCTCGTGCTAATTAAGGCCTAGCTGTGCCACCCCTAATCATATCGTTTTCATCTTCTAAGAATGTCTAATGTGCCGAGATATCAAAACGTGTACAAATAAGAACTAGGAGAGTTAGTTCTCTTGAAGGTTTTGTCAATCCTAGTTTTAATTCGCTCACTTCATCCTTCATCGTGCTTTTCAATAAATAAATAAAATAAAAGTTAGAATTTATTAAATGATAAGATAAAAGGGGTAAAAATCAGTTTGTTTTAAAATTCAGATTATTTTCCAGTGGCATTGTCAAATATGTGACAATATGATTGACAGATGATGGAAATGGATTGATTCCCACTTCACGCCGACGGAGAAATTTACAAGAATGTACATTAGTTGTGGACTAAACATTGGATCGTACAATACATTTTGTTACACGACATTCTACACTTTTCTTGTAATTCAACATTTAAACCTTAATTATAGCCACCAGATAGTGATGTCGACCATAAATTTCAGACCACAAGTGAAAAGATAGCGTTGGCAATGTTACATCCTAAATAAAGTGAGACCAAGAGAAACTTGTTGGTCCAAGACCATGTTTGTCTAATCTTTTTTGCCTAATTTTTTCTAAACTTAGATATATAACTTTTTCTTTCGTTATTTTCAATGCCGACTTTTGTATTAATCATACCCCGAATGAATAATTTATTTAAACCTTGGTAATTTCGAGTACAAGAAAGTCGGAAGTAGGATTTTTTCTATTTTCCAACTTTTGTAGTGTTTGATAATCACTTTCTCTCACACGTGCACATTNATTTTCTAGTTTTTGGCTTGTTTAATTGTACAAGTTTTCCATGAATTTTTTTTCCCTCTTACACCCATACGTACACATTTTCCATGAAATTGAGGAAATCGTTTTCCCACCTTTTAGGTGGGTTTTCATTTTTCACCTTTTTTTTTTTGGTAATTGGGAAAAATTCTAGACCCAAGAGTAAAAAAATTTATCACTTTTATCGACAATTTTCATACAAAACAAAGTCAAACGAATGATATTTGGTATGGTAATTTTATTTTATTTTGGCAAGTGAAACAAATTCTAGACCCAATGGTAAAAAAAATTATTACTTTAATGGACAATTTTCATGAAAAATAAAGCCAAACGGACACCAAACTTTCACCATTTTCCAGTTGGAAAATTATATCAATCAAATACAATTAATTACAATTCCCAGTAAAATAATTTTTAGACAATTCAATTTCGTAGAATTCAATTTCTTTCCATCCATTTTTCACATTTGCAATCAAACGGACCCTAAGGCTTCAGGGAAGTAGGAAAATATTTTCCTACTTTTACTTTTGTGACTGTTTGATATGCGAAATTTTCCACGGAAAATATTTTTCTCCATTTTTCTAGGTACAACCCTTTGAAGCA